TTTCAAATTTTTAAAAATTTAATCCATATTTTCAAGATGCAAAAGTTTTGGCCATACTCTCAAAACTTGTGGCAACCCCTTGTAATAATATATTATTTTATTATTTATATGTAAACGTTGATTATAATTTGAACACCTGTGAAAACTATTGATATAGTTATGTGTCTCAAGTCTGAACAAATAAAATTATGAGCTACAAGTTAATTGTATGATGTTAATGAATTTATCTTCCACTACACACATAATCTTTTCTCAATAATCATTTTGTTACCTTTAATGATTGTACATATGACTGATGAATGGTATTATAACATGAATTATATTATTTACTTGAGATATATGTTTTATTTTCCTTAAGGTGTTAAATGGGGCAATATATTTTGAAAAAGAACAAGTTCTGTTATATTTCAAATTGTAGGAAGTGAAAAATTTTAAAAAACAATGCTATATATATAAGTAGCACATTGCAAAATAAAAGCCGTTCTTTATAGGTATCATCTCATTAAAATTATAGTCTCATACTTACCGATTGTGGAGATACTTTAAGAAACAAGAAGAAGTTAAGTCACATATGTTGGACTAAAATACTCCTATTTAAATATAAATATTGTCTAAAAATTATTTAAATTTTAAAAATAATTTTTTTATTTAAATTTTTATTATTTAAATGTATTGATTTTGTAAATTTTTAAAAGTTAAATATATAAAAAATATATTCAAAAATGTAGTTTATGGACTCAATAAATATAAAAATAAAATAAAATATTCTTTAATAATTGGAGCAGTTAAACCAACTTAAAGAAATCCGAAAGTTAAAGGTGTCAACAGTCAGACTTAATTATAATTTTTTTATATGTTTAGATATTTGAAACTCTACAGGTAATAGAGAAAATGTAAGATTTTAGTAAACTTTATTTTTTAAAAAATAGAGTAGTATGGTTTAAAAAAGTGGTGCATGGGACCTACATTAAAAAATGTGAGTAAGGTTTACATTTATAAATTCAAAAAGTTTAAATAAGTTGTACAAACTAATAAGATTTTTATATTTTGAGAGATTATGTAAGATTCATAGTAAAAATTAATGGTGAATATAAGATTCTTAGTAAAATAATAGATGTTAGATATACAAAAGTGAGAATATATTTCAAATTGCAAGAGGGGAGAAATTAAAAAAAAAAAGACAATGCTATTGTTATATATATATATATATATATATATATGTATATGTATATAAAAGAGTAGTACATTGAAAAATAGAAGCCGTTCCTTATAAGTATCATCCCATTAAAATTTTAGTTTCATATTTGCCAACTATAGAGATATAGGAAGAGGATTTTAATTTATTAATTTTCACAAATTAATAAATTATAGAGTAAAATATATTGACATCCCTTTTATTCTGTTAAAGTTATAAAGACTTCTTCTTTATTTTTAAAACTTAAACTTTAGTCTCATTTTGATATTTATTTTAGAGTGAAACACTCAATTAAATAGTAAATATGAAAAATAGTGCTATTTTAAAGACAAATATCTATTTTATAGGAGTAAGATTTAGTTATAAATATCTTACATTTTTAAAAACATAGAGCATGTATTTAGTTTTTTATGTATTTAATTTTTTTAAAAAATATTAAATAAATCGTTTGTATGACTAATAAATTTAAATTATAAATAAAAATTTAAAAGAATATATCAAGAATGGTATTTTAGTCCAAAGTATGTGATTTAACTATCAACTAATGATTGAATGTGTGAAAATAAAAATTTAAACATAGAAGGTATATTTGTATTTTATAACTCTTAACTATAGATTTTTAAGAGGAATTTGTATATATTTTAAACATAAAAAAATTTATAATTAAGTTAAAATAAAGGGAAAAGTAATATATTTTATTTAAGGATATTAAAATAATTTTTTAACAAGGTTAATATGTAATTTGAACATTAAACTATTGGTTCAAGGGCGATTTGAATTCTAAAATTTAAAAAAATATTTTGAACCTTAAATAATTAAAATTGGAACAATTTTATCCCTATCATTAAAATTCGAACAAACATCCGTCAGTTTTTTAAAATTGAAACCTAACGTGTAATGTTTACCAAATTCTACCATCTAATGTGCGATGTTTATTAAATTCTACAGTCTCTCTTACCCATGCATTGCATGGGGGTAAAAATCTAGATTTTATTAAAAGGGGTTGATATGATAAAGTATATATAATGATTAAAGATAAGTATTATATATATATATATATATATTATTGATATAATATAAATATTTTAACATATATACTTATAGGACTGAGCCAAGGACAAGTTTGGGCCTTATTGGGCAATAAGTGGACTCCGAATCTCCAAAGAAATAGGCTTTCTCAAAATTACATTACTAGCTCCCTCCAGTCCCTATTAATCCATTATCAGATAATTAATTGGTGCTTAACATAAATCACATAAAGGGTTATTAATTGACATTATTTAATTCTTCCCCTAACAAATTACTAAAAATAAATTTTAATTCTAATTTAATTAGTATTTTTATATGACTACTCAAATGTAAAATTGAAATATTTTTTTAATTTTAAGACATAATTAATAAATTAATTGAACTTTTAAAATGTTTGTTTGCCCAAAAAAAGGGCCGTTCCCTGTATTATATTCCAAAATGTCACCATCCTTCTTTGTCTTTGTTTATTAGTGTCGTAAGTCTCCTCAATTGGGTAAAAAAACAGAGAGAGAGAGGGGGGGGGGGGGGGGGGGAACGAGGTGGTGGGAGGGTAAATGGCCAGTGCCATCACTCGTGAGAGTACAACCAGTGGATTAATTAGACACGTAAGATCTGTTTGGTTTGGTTTAAGAAGAGGGGAGGGAAACTCACCCTCAATTTGGAGGGAAGGCTTTGAAGGGGAGGGGAGGGGAGCCCTTCCTTTCCCCCCAACCAAATATACCTGTAGTCATCCAGAGACGGGCATAACAATATATTACAAAAATAAACCCTCTTAATTATTGGATTCCAAAATACCCTTCATTATCTTATTTATAAATTATTTTTAACATATTTTATTAAAATTAAAAATTTATACTCTTTCCATTCAAAAATATAAGATATTTTTTAAAGAGTTAATGTTAAAAAAATGTAAGATATTTTTAGCCTTTCGAGGTGTAATCGTTGTCTTTTTTTTTCTGATGATAACTTTATATTTATTACAGGATATTTAATAAGGATAAAAATAAAAATATAAGGTTAGTTTGAAAGTAGATAACTACTTTATTAGGAGGTGAGATTTGATTAAAAATGCATTATATTTTTTAACGGAGGGAGTAACTTTTATTAACTTTGTTTTAAAATTTATTAAGTTTCTACCTTTATTCCTAATAAAGATAATCTTTCTTAATATTTAATAAGGGTAAAAAGATAAAAATGCACATAGAAAATAATGAAATGCTTTATAAATAGAATTAAAATTAATTTTATTTCCCTATCTTAGAGATAAGACTAGAGGAATAAATTAAAAAGCTTATGAGCTCCCATCCAAAGCCAGACTCGTGAGCCATGGGTTTCATCTACTCTTCTATTATGCTTACTTAATTAAGGCATGTTTGTTTTATATTTTTAAATTTTTTTTATTTTTGAGAATAAAAAATTTACAAATTCATTTAGATAAATATTTTGAATTTAATTATTTAAAAAATTATTTTTTATTTAAAAAAATAGAAACAGTTTTATTTTTTGTAGTGACATTTGATTACTGAACACTACAATTAGATGTGATTTTAACATGTGGCTGCTTGAGAAAAATTTAAATCAAATTTGATGAAGATATGATAAGATAGAGATGTTGAGCGGTGGATTTGCGAGCCAAATGGAGGGTGAAAAGCTCATAAATTAAAATAAACCATAGAGAGCCTCCAAAAATCATTCCATCATACGGCTCTGGGTTGGGAGGCACACAAGAGTCTGAGTGTAGGGATTTCAAGCATGAGTTGGCTTGATGTGATACGAGAGAAAAGTTCAATGTTGGATAATATTGGATTAGAGAAGAAGTATATAAGTGGAGAAAACTTGGGTTACAAATCCAATTTTTTTCTACAATTCAAGTTTGGATGACTCAATTCACTTTTGAACTCAATTCAAAAATTAAAACTAAATTCAAAAGCTATCTCTAACTATTCTCGAATTTAATTATATTTAAATTTATATAATTATTTTTTATTAGATTAATAAATCATGAGAAAAAATTTTGGGATGTTGCAAACACTCTGTCCTCAACGCACACGATATAGCATACCCTTGGTCATAATTGGTGATTATCAGCTCCTATTGAAGCCAAACACAAAATTCAAATAGGAGTACGCTGTTATCATTTATTATAAACAAGCAACAAGTGCCATAATTAAAGAAATTTTGACACTTTACCAAATTTACCCAATATTATTCGCTAGTTGAAAAGGTTTTTTTTTTGAAAAAAAATAAAAGTATTATAATCTTTTCTCATTTAAAATTATTTTTAAATTAGTTCCTTGCAATAATATTTCACAACTTTTTAATCCTTATTTAATAGTAAATTGCTTTTACGATCCTTCTAGATCATGTGATCTCTTAATAATTAGGGTGTTCGTGCAGTGAAAGTTGAACAAAGGTTTTACATGCATGTAATGTCACGTCAATCTTTAATAAAGATTGTAATGATTTAACAAAATTAAAAAATTCAAAGATTTCATTTCTTATTAAAAGCTCAAGATATTAAAGATGTAGTTGGCTGTATGTGCTCTATATATATATTTATATATTTTTGGATATTTTAAGTTAGTCTCAAATAAACTTGGTTAGTCCAAATTATCGGTTGTATAATTCTAATGGCTCAGTGAGGTGGGATGGGGCAATTCTTATGGCTTGTGAAATCGGTTAGTCGGGATGAGTCAACTCAGTAATCAGTATATGCCTCTTTTAATTTAAATTGCTGACATTTGGCTCGTGCACGCATAATTGCCTCTCATTAAAAATGGCTCTTCAACTTCCCCTGATTGCTTCTCTGCCTTATGGTTCCCTCACTAAAAATACTAAAACATTCTCTTCTGGTTCAACCCTGTTCAAAAGCTTCAACGTCCCTTCTCTTACAGTCCAATGCAAGGCCTCGTCATCAGTTAGTGTTTCTGATCACAGAAAGCAAGTTTCTCGTCGATCTGGAAATTTCAAACCTGATGTTTGGAACTATGATTATATTCGGTCCTTGGATAATAAATACAAGGTATTGTTATCATTTCATTCTCATACAGTTAGGAAAGATATTATATATAAGACTGAAGATCGACAAAGATTTAATTTCCTCTGAACATGATATCTATTTCTGATGTTCAGGAACAAGCATATGAAGAAGAAAGAAGAAATCTCATGGAAGAAGTAAGGATACTGCTTTCAGAAACGGTGAATCCAGTGGATCAACTTGAGCTTATAGATACCTTACAAAGGCTCGGACTAAGTTATCAGTCTAAAGGTCAGATATGCAAGATACTGGAAAATATTTATAACGCGGAAAAGTTCAAGAACAAGAAGAATCTACATGCCGCAGCACTTGAGTTTCGACTCTTAAGACAGCATGGCTATGATGTATCCACAGGTACATACGTCGTACTTGAACTTTATATTATTAATTAAAAGGAAAAATACAGCAGCAGATCCTTGTACCATGATTACATGTTGTTTTCAGTCTTTGTAGTTTTATTTCATTATTCCTAGTTGTTTTAATTTGATCCATCTAAAACATTAGCCCTCATTGTTGGAATATCAAGCGTGAGTTGATTTGATTTAATATGAGAAAAAAGTTTCACATTGAATAGAATTGGGTTGGAAGAGATATATAAGTAGAAAAAAACATGTAAACTTAATATGTCAATGTTTTGAGTTAAGGATGCGGTATCATGCATATTCACTTCACTTGTATGTGTCTTCTTGGAACCATTAAGCAGCCAGATTGTTTACGCGTACTTAATCTTGCATTTATCTCCCACCTTTTGTTTAATCCAAGCATACAAGAAAGCTTTTTCTAGCTCCTTACCTTTTATTTTAGTCATACTTGGTCCATTTATATTGTCTGTGATAGTTCATACTCTTTACATGTATTTTTAAAATTATAGAGACTAAAATTGCAGTTGCAGATGTATCAAGCTAAAGAAATTGGGAACAACGAAATAAAAAAAAAACATCACAATTAATCAAAGTACAAGGATCTAATATGATATTTTTCCTAATTAAAAATTTTCAACTCGTTAGCACTAACTAGAACTGCTATTTGTTACTGCAGATGCCTTTGATAGTTTTAAAGACGCAAAGGGTTGTGATTTTCAAACAAGTCTATCTCAGGATATCAAGGGAATGATTTCTTTATATGAAGCCTCGTTTCTTTCAATGGAAGATGAAACCGTTTTGGAAAAAGCAGCAGATTTCACATTGAAATCTCTGAACGATTTCGTGAGCAACAACACAGGACATGAACTGACAAGCCAAGTGAAACATGCTTTGGAGGTTCCATTACATTGGAGGCTTCCAAGATGGGAAGCACGTTGGTTCATTGGTGAATATGAAAGAATGCCTCATATGAATCCTACCTTGCTTCAGCTTGCCAAACTGGATTATAACATGGTTCAAGCAATGTTTCAGGAAGAGGTGAAGTCTAATATAAGGTGAGATATACACATTAATTAAAATAACTTTGTATTGGAAACAAGGTCAACCTTGCCAGATGAACTATGGTTAACATTGAATTTATCAATCAGTTCAATGAAATAATTTGTTCATGACTGGTTTGACTGTGGTTCAATTATAGTTTTGACTATTGATCGTTAAATTAGTGCATTGAATTAATTTAATTTTTAGCACCTTGAATAAAACAAAAGTAGTTTTTGACAAAAAAAAATAATAAATGTCAGAAAAAAGGGAATAATCCATTACAAATTCTATAGGAAAAATGACAAGTAAATCATATCGAAATAAGTAATTTATAAAAGAGTACCATAAAATGGGGTAATTACTCTAAAGTCTCTAGAAATTTGTATCTGACATTTTTTGAAATCATGTTTTTGACTCTTTACAAAATAATAGAAAGCATAATTGTTAAAATCTAAACTATTGAAGTTGTTAATAACAAAGGAAAAGTTGTTAATATAGGAAGCATAATTATTATTATTACATGACTAAAGTAAAGTTATGGATAGTTATGTTGCTAATACCAAAACTAAAGTTATTAAGATAGGAAGTATATTTATTATTACATAAATAAACTAATTACTATGCTTCTTATATATCAACAGCTTTAATTACCTTCATTTATTAACAACTTCATTGTAAGTTTTAATAACTACATTTTTTATTATTTTGTTGAGGGTCAAAAATATAATTTTACAAAAAAAAATGTCAAGCAAATCTCTAGAAATTTCAATGTGATTTGTCTATGTCAGGGGTACTCTTTTATCATTTGCCTATTTTGATCAAATTCATGTATCATTCTCCCAAATCTACGCGCACACAATATAAGTTTTTGCTAATGCTAAAATTTGTGTTTGATTTGAAGATGGTGGGAAAGAACTGGCCTGGAAGAGAAGGTGAGTTTCTGTAGGTGTAGAGTGGTGGACAACTATGTATGGGGCCTAGGAATGCAAGATGGGCCAGATTTTGGAAAATTAAGAAGAGTCATTGGGAATCTTTGTGCCATAATAACCCTAACAGATGATATGTATGATGTTTATGGCACTTTGGAAGAATTAGAGCTCTTCACACAGGCCATTCTCAGGTTTGAGTATAATTTTTGTTCCTTCCTCCTAGTTGTATTAGATGATGTTAGAGATGGCAATTACTTATTATCAAATTTTACGACACTATTATTTATATGTTTCCAAGAAAATCTACATTGAAAAAATAACTTAAGAAAATGTTAGCTTAATGAGTTTCAAGAAATATGCAATTACTTGTAATTACTTTCAGAAATCAATGTTACTGCTGAATTTCACCGGAATCAGATCAGAATTTTCTTTTTGGAAAAAATTATTATTAGCTTTAAGGAAAATAGTAACTTTGAAGAAAATAAATCACATAAAACTTGACAATAGTTTTGATTTTAAAAACAATTATATGGCTATATAACTTGGTAGATCTTTCAATTATTTTAATTTTTTAAAATCCAAGTTCTTAAATTTTACCCTAAGTATATCTTTTATTTTTCAAATGTTTCTCTGCCTTTCAAGTTACAAGCTATACAATATTGATTGTGATTTTACTTTAGGTGGGATGCAAATGACTTGGATAATCTTCCAGATTACATGAAAGTGGTATTTTTTGCAATTTATAACTTTGCGGATGAAGTGGCTTCTGAAATTCCCGAAGAAAAAGGGCACAACGTCCATTCATACCTCAAGACAAGGGTATGATCTGTGATGCTAGTTAGTTATATCAATATTGGAAAATGCAACAATATCATAAGTCTCTTTATTTTGTTTTTATTACATATAGTTTTATTTCATTTTTTCCAACGTCTTTAGTTTAACCTGTCTAAATTTTACTTTCTATTGTTTTAAACGTGCACATAAGAATGATGAGATGGTATCGACGAAGTTAATTTTGTTGGTGTGTATTTAATTTTGTTAATCCCTATGCTAACGTGTATTCAATATTGCCTTCGTCTCTCACATTCTATTTAAGTCAAATATAAAATTAAGTTTTTCCCCTTCATTATCTTTTATGTCAGCATATTTTTACCATATCAGTTTTTCCCCTCAATTAGCTTTTATGTCAGCATATTTTTTCCATATCAGTAAAGGAATTAGTAGAGTTATAACAAAATTAACTATGTCAATGCCAGCTTGTGTTTCTATGCATTTTTAAAATTATAAAGATTAACGTTGAAGACTAATCAAGTTAAAGTGAATAAGAACAATGAAATACAACTATGTAAGAACTAAAAACAAAATGCAATCGAAATATATGGATCAACCGGGCAGTATTTTCTCATCTATATAATTACTGTCTTAGGTACCTATAAAATTAGACTTTAATATTAACATTAATGATTATTTCATTAAGTAATTTAAATTAAAATTTGCAGTGGCAAGAGATCTGTAAAGCATATATGGTAGAGGCAAGATGGTCCCACGGCGGAAAAACACCAAGGCTGGAAGAATATTTGGAAAATGGAAGGATTTCGATTAGTGGACCTCTGTTTCATCTGCATGCTTATCTGTTCTTGGCTAATAATCCTATCAGCAACCACCACTTGGATTCCTTGGATCCTCATTCATGTCTGGTTTACTTCTCAGGCCTTAATTTCCGCCTCCTCAATGACCTCGGATCATTTCAGGTACCTATGCTCTCTCTCTCTCTCTCTTATATAAGAGAAAATGTAACACTATGATCCGTTGAATTTGAATTCCATAACTGTATTTAGTATAGGCACTGAGTACCTGTACCACTTAAACTGTTAAAATTTAGATTAATCATTCTGAATTCATACTTGAGGTTAATGAATAAGTAAATTTATCTGAACTATTAATTTAAATTTCAATAACTTAGATGGTACAGGCACTCAAAGCATATACTAAATATAGTTATTAAATTTAAATCCATAATTTATTTCAAATTATAAAGTACTTCTGTAGATATTCAACTAAAAGAGGATGGAGTACATCTATCCAAGAAAAAAATCTTTCTAAAAATGCCTTTACCATATTTATTTAACACAACAACGTATCTTAAGACTTGAATTTAAAACCTTTGGATAAGCTGATGCAACTCCCCTCAATCAGTTGAATCAAGGGCTCCTATTATTACCTAACTTTGATTGATATGAGCAGTAAAAAAGTTTACAGAGGATTGGGGCATCTAATACCACCACTCTCTAATACTCTTTTTGAATGCTGCCACCTCCCAATAGGTTATTTTCATTTTTCCTTTGATTAGTTATAACATGAGAGACGTTTTAATATTTTATGGTGGTGAAATGGTGCAGTTTATTTTTTTAATGATTTTCAAATAAAAATACCCCAAAAGAGTCGGGAATTGTTATAAAGGGGGGGCACTCAGCTCAAGAAAAATAATAAGGCATGTAAATTTTGCAATTTTAATGATCAAGATAAAATATAATAAATATATTCACATAAAAAACTATATCAATATATCTATCCTATATAGTTTTCCAAAAGAAAAAAAATTAACAATCTACATATATGTTATTGCACTTTCAGTTTCATTGTAATTATTATTTTTTTAATTATTAAATTATTTTGTAAAAAATATCAATTTTTAATCATTGTACTTAGTGTTTTTTTTTTTTTTTGGTTGGGTCTAACTTTGAATTGTTGTTAGCGTGAGCTAAAGACACGGGATGTGCCCTCCGCAATACAGTGTTACATGAATGATACAGGAGCTTCTGAAGAAGAAGCCATCCAACACGTAAAGTGTTTGGTATATAAAACGTGGAAGAAGCTGAATGAACAAGTTGCCACATCGTCCTTGTCTCGTGATTTCAACGTTACTGCCTGGGAACTTTCGAGGATAGCAACGTTCTTTTACAATTATGGAGATGATACCTACACTCTTCAGCATTCTGATTTCGAGCATCGTGTTAATTTGTTAATTTTTGATCCCATTCCCATCTAGACATGTACGTATAGCTCATGGGTTTTGCATGAGCCACATTCAGTATACTCTTTTTGTGGAATCATTTGCCTTTGGATGATCTTGTCATGGTCTGCATTTTCTGGTTTTCCTTTTTAATACTTTCTTTGAAAAGCCGAGACGCAGACCAACTTTGAGATGATCACTAAAGTCTCACATTAAATAAAGTAAAAATAACAAAAAAGAATATAAGTAGAGAAAAGATCTACAAATTTAACACTTCAAGATTTTAAATTAAAATATGGTAGTTTGTTCATTTATACGCATCTTTTTAGAAGCATTGGTCTGTTCAATTGTGTTCTTTCCCTTTTCGAGACACTACTCGCGCCCAACAATAACTTTGGTTTCATGTTTTTTTTTTTTTAAGTTTTCTAGTGAAGGAGCATTGAGGAATATGTGAGATCGTAAAACAAGAGAGGAACAAATATATTTGAAGAGAAATCTTCTGCACTGACAATATTGCTTCTTAGTGTGAGCTGTTGACAGTATTTAATTGGTTATTAATTGATAAATGAGCAGCCATTTTTTCTAGTTGTCTAAAAATTGATGACTTTCTACGTAAAAATACTTGATGTGGAATCTACTAATCAATATAGTTGTCTAAAAATTGATGACTTTCTACGTAAAAATACTTGATGTGGAATCTACTAATCAATGGAAACTTTTTAATTAGTCATTGAAAATTGCATCGTATTATATGTTACCATATTACCCGTCACCACACACCATATGTTGTGGTATCACTTGTTACCTTACATAACGTGTCTTCAAAATTGAATAAAGAGGGGGGAAAAATGACCAAATTTTATCCATGATTATGAAAGAAACGTACAATGAAAAAAAAAAATTCTTCCTTGCTGAATCGTACAATTAACTCAAAAGCTCTCTAGGAATTAACCCATAAAGTGAAGAATTCAACCTCCCTGCGAATACTCAATACCTAACCCTTAAACCTTTATGTAAGTTTAGGGTATAACTAACTTAATGATCAGCAATTAATTTTTGTTAACTATTCAATATTCCAACAATATAAATTCACTTAAACACGATATAACTATTACGAATTTAAGAGAGTTATTAGTTACTTATGTCATTTAATCAAATTATTCATAAGACCAAAGAAGAATATGCCCAAAGCATATGAACCATGAATAATACAGGACGGGGCCAGGGACAAGTTTGGGCCTTATTGGGCAGTAAGTGGACTCCAAATCTCCAAAGAAATAGGCTTTCTCAAAATTATTTGGTGACATGTTCTAGGAATAATTTTATATTCACCAAAACAATAATAATAATAATTTTATAGCATGTTTTTAAAATTATTTTAAAAAAAATTAAATATTTTTTAGAGAATAAAAAGATGAATATTTTTTAGGTGTTCTTGGAGTATTGTTCTAGAAAACAAAAGAAAATGTAAAAACTGAAAAATACCTATTTTTATTGATTTTTTTCTCAAAATATATTATACAAAAAACCAATTTTCAAAATAATAAAATAGAAATAGTTTTAAATAAGCCTTTTATTACTAGCTCCCTCCAGACCCCATTAATCTATTATGAGGCACCTTTTTAGAGTATTCATTGGTCGTTAATATAAGCAATATAAATGATTATTAATTGACACTTTTTAATTTTACCCCTAACAAATTACTAAATAATTAAAAATAAAATTTAATTCCAATTTAATATTTTTATATAACTCATCAAATGTTGTATTTCTCTCTTTCTTTAATAAGGACAACATTGGAATATTTTTTAACTTTAAGACAGATTTAATAAATTGACTACCTCTCCTTGATTTCAATGAAGTGTTTGAAAGCAAACTTATACTATATCTACTTTAAATTATAAGATATTTTTAGATAAAATTACATATACATTAAGTTTATTAAATATATTTTATAATTTTTAAGACAAAAATATAAACATTCAAAAATACTCTTTATTTAAGACTTCATTTGTGAAATAATATTAAAAAGACAGAATGTACGAAAAAAGTAATATTAAAATAATAATATTATTTTTATTAGAGTGTTTTGTATTTTGAAAAGCCGAATCTCTCAAAAGCATTTTATAATTTAAAATAAAAGTAATATTTTTTTTGGTAATAAAAACAAAGGTAATATTAAAGATGAAGGGAGTATCAGATAAATAAGCCCTCTTAATTATTGGATTCCCAAACAAATTAAAAGGCTCATGGGCCTCGTGAATCTTGCGTTTCATGTTTCATCGAGTTACGTCTACTTGATGTCTTCAGCCGCATTAGTTTAAACAATTCCCACTAGACAAATACTCCCTCCACGGCTCCGCAGTCTGCTCTGTGCTACTCTGATCTATTTTACAAGGCATTTTTAATATATTTTATCATAATTAAAAAATTTTTAAAACTCATTAATTTTATCTATAAATTTAATAATTTTTTAATTTTTTTTATTAAATATATATACTTTAACAATGTATTTTCTCTCTTCAACATTTAATAAAGGTCAAATAAAAAAATTCATAATAAAAATTTAATGAGGTGGCTTATAAATAAGATAAAAAATATTTTTTTCTGCCTTATAAATAGGACCAAAGAGACTGAAAAATATTTTTTTTAAAATTTTTTCTGATTTCAAATATAACATATTTGATAACTTTTATATTTATTTTTTTAACTATATCCCTACTTGATTTATTATTTTTTTGAAAAAAAATTATGTATTAGAATTTTAATTACTATTATTAAAGCTCTTATATAGAGTATTTGATAAGGGTATAAATAGAAAGATGAATATTTTTAAAAATTTAATATTTCAACTAACATTATTTGTAAATCGTGAATTAATTAATTATAACTTATATTATAATTTAAAGGGAGTATAATGCCCTGCAGATCCAACAACCCCAGCATTCACTGAATCTTTTAACCTTCCATAATTTGGTTGGACAGGAAAATAAAAAAGAAAAAAAAATAAGAATTAAAATTTCAAAAAAAAATTATTATTTTAAAAAATTTCTTCTCCTAATTTCACTTATTTATTTTACTTTTTCCTTCCTCCAAACCAAGTCTAAATCAACCAGAGATGTGCCTGCGTTGTAAGAAAAGGGGGCAATTGCTCTCATGAAATTTACAAACATTACACTTCTTTTTTGACAAAATTACACTTGCCTACTTTTAAAATTGTACATGCCACCACAAAAAAATCATTGCTCTCTATTCTCTTTAAAATTATCAAGCACATATATTTAAAAATACTGTTTACTCTTGTATTTATTGTAAAAATAAATTTATGATATGCATAAAATTGAGATATATTTTAAATATTTATATTTGGTATAAATATTGCCCGCACTACTCAATTTTTCTGCTCGCTAAAGTCAATATTAGCCCATGGATCTTGTGCGTCGCCCACATGGAGCCAGCTAGAACAGCCATTAGTCACGTTTATGATTTTAACAGCGTTGGCACGAGAAATTTTTAGGTAGACTCAAGCCATCACGTAATCAATGGTTCATCTAATGAAAACATAATATTTAAATAATATTAAATATAAATTAATTAAAAAATTAATTATAAGAGAAAAAAGATAAGAAATTAAATAAACATTTTATTATAAAAAATAAAATTATTAAAATTAATAACATATATAATTTTATTTAATTGAATTAATATAATTTTATTTAATTGAATTAATATAATTTTATTAGCTGGATTATGGATGATAAAGTATATTGAGTGCACCTAAAAATTTTTCCCCTGTCGTTGTCCCGCGTGTGATTTTTAGAAGACCAAGGATAAATTTGCCCAACAAAATAGTTGATACACTTTCTAGCAAGAGATCGTGACGTCAAACAGTGTTGACGCATTAACCAAATGCTACAATTCTATTTGAGTTTCTCGGAAGTGAAGTGACATTCAGAGAGAAACAAATTTGATCATCAGTTCCATTTAAGAACCACCACCGATTTTTGAAATTGTACGCAAGACAGGGTTTCAAACGGACAACTTACGTGTCAGTTGTAAATCCCAAAAGCTGCTTGTGAATTTTTTGAAAAAACATATATTTTAATTCCTACACTTTATTTATATTTTAATTATAAATTTTTATATTTTTTTAATATTTTACATTCTTAAACTCTCATTTTTTAATATTCTAAATTTTTAAATAAATAAAATAAATAAAGTATAGGAACCTTAAATGTATATAAAATACTAAAAAATGAAAGTATATAAATTTAAAATATAAAAAAAAGTGTAGTGACCTATAATAAAATATGAGTAAAGTGCAGGGATTAAAAAATATTTTTTTTATATTTTTAAATTTTTAGCATGACTAATTTTTGTTTTCTTATTAAGGCAGTGGTGTTGTTTTACACCCAAAACAACATAATATTCCAAGAGGCAAATCATACGACCAAGCTTATAGCTGGAGCATAATAAAAATATTTTTTACTAGTTATTCAAACAAGTAGTCTTAATTTTTTAATTTACCAATATATATGTTTATTGGTTCTTTAAAGTGCTCCCCACAAAAGGATAGTGTACAGCCTGTATCATAGATATTGCCCGATGAAATACTTTAAAGACATTATCACTCAAGTTCAATTATTTTATGATAACAAAATTTAATGAAATACTTTATTGTTATTTGTAATACAGTACTACATACCCAAACACATATTGTGAGGTATTTTGGGGATTGCTATCATAAATGAAATCATCGAAAAGTGGTGTCAAAATATATTACATACAAGCGTGTGTTCAATATGCAACCAATTCATTAGGGGTAATTTTAATTTTATTTTTCATGTATTGAAGGAATACCAATTGAGAAGAATTAAAATTAAAATTACCCCCTATTATAGGTTAGGCTTAAAATACCTAATACCCTTTTCTATGTACAAAAGCCTAACCTAACTTACGTATTTTATAAAGATGTTAGGTTAGGCTTATGTATTGGGGGACTTTATGCATATTAGGTTAGGCTTTTGAATTGTGGC